TCTATTTTTTAACCTTAGTTGTAGGCCTATCCAAAATTTTACAACTAAAAAAAAAAATCGCGACTGACCTGTCGCGACTTATCCATCACCGGCGCCGCATCACGTTTCGCAGTCATTCTTTAATTAATGTTTAAATGTTTCGTGCGTGTTTTCGTGTGTGTTAATGTCTACATGTTTTTTGTGTAACCATGACGAAGTCAACACCGAGGGATGTTTTATAAAGAAGCTGGCGTTCAACAAACCTGAAGATGTGCCAGTGATAGGCATGAAACAGCTGTAATTTCATAAAACTACCGAGGATCGATGACAGAAGCCAGGTAATTTAAACCTTATTAGTGCTAATTTTAACGATCCAGAGGCCAACCATCATGGAATATACATTTAAGGAATTGCTAAAATTAGTTAAACCACTGATTGAAAAAACATTTAGACAGTTGTACTTTTGTGTAAAACCAAGTGGAAAATTATCTTTTAGTCGCCGATAGCACGCTTCTAAAGGTGGTCGGACTAAGACTACGCTGCTGGCTGGCGTCAGCGAGTGTGAGTGATCATGTGATTACAAGTCACTGCTGCCTTGCTAACCAAAAGTTGAACATGTCCGACTTCGCCAGCCACTGACAAATACTTGCCGGCTGGTGGTGTCAGCTGCAAATTTTGAGGTCACATTAAGCTGACAGCTTCTTTCAATTCGCCGCTGATGCCAGCCTAGTGTGACCCGTGCTTAAGTGGAGAGAGTAACAAAAGTTAGATGATGAGAAGAATAACATCATTGATTAACTTCATTTTTTTAGAGATATAGGTAGCCTACGGTAGATAATACTGTCTGACTAATTACATGTAGGCTAGTTCTTTTAGGCATGTCAGGGTGGTCGGTCGAGTTTTTGCGAATTCGTGACTGCATTACCGTAAGTGTTTTGTAGTAGGTTATATGAGGAAGGTAAAGTTTAGGTTATAATGAGCCGTAAAGTACTATATTCGTACTTACATACGTATCGTACTTTAGGTGTTTTTCTCTCTCTCAGGGATTTAATTGTACAAAAACAGACTGTAGGTAACATTTAACCTAACTAACAACTCGATTCATTATAACCTTAACTTTACCTTATCAAATCACCCCTTACCTTCAAAGGACTTAATGCAGTTTTGCACGTCATCTGTCTGCTACATTATTTTCGGAACTAAAATGAAAAGCGTCTAGAAACAGACATCAGGAGAAAGCTTAGAATCTGCCGAAAACAACGATACCAATCTCGATCCAGTTCAATCTGATTCAGTCAGTCCCAGAGCCTTTGCCGTAAACGATGTTTGTGTGTCGCAAAAGCGACGCATACCGGTAACACCACGGCAGGTGTGTTGTGCGTCGATTAGCCTACCGTACGCGACGCTTAACACTCAGAGGGTTAAGTGTTTTGAAGTTAGATTAGATTAGGAAGGTAAAGTTTAGGTTAAAGTGAACAGAGTTGATAATTTATATTACATACAGACTGTTTTGTGCTATTGAAATAGTGACTTAAACATAACAAAATAACAATTTATTAAATGCTTGCAGGGCTAGAAAAAATATTGTTACCAAGCATGGAATCTCTTATTGTTGGGGTGTCCTTAATATACATGTAGGCCCTAATAGAATTTTATTAGTTTATTGCTGATGAAATTATGCACTAAGGCACGTTTTCACTTTAAAGCACTGTGGGATTGTGCGCCTAGATATTATGCACTATGGGATTAATGTATGCACTGTGAAATTATGCACTAAGTTTAACTTATGGGATTATGCACTATGGCACTTTACTTAACAGACGTTGAAGGTTAAAATGAGGAGACGATCATGTTGTTATTGAAGTGGCAGTGGTATAGTCTCTATTAACTTCTAAGGTTAATAGAGACCTAACACTCTCTATTAATTTTATTTTTTAATAAACTTATTTTAATGAATGTTGATGTAATCGTTTATGTATCGCAGTTGAGTTACTGTTTTCTAAACGATGTCAAAGTCCGTTGGTTTTAATAAAATTGAATTCTTGTAAGAAATAACTCAACGAAACTGAAGCTTGATATTAATTATTTAATTGTACATCTACTTAGGAATCTCTCCGACAAAAACTGATTACATTTTTTGATTAGGCCTAGGCCTAATCGTGAAAAAAACTAAGTAGGCTAGACATCAAATTAGCCAGCTACACTTTACTTGACGTCCTACACTCATTCGATTGTTTTTTTCGATTCGATATTTTCATTCGATATATCGTTTGGTTAGTTAGGTTAGGTTAACCTTACCTAACTAACCAAACGATATATCGAACAAGCAATCGATTAATCAATATATCGATCGATATTTTCATTCGAATGAGTGTAGGACGCCAAGTAAAGTGCAGCCAATTAGCCTACCGGTACATCCTAAGTTATCCCAATTTAGCCTACTTAAGCTAATTGGATACGCTAACTTACTATCATAAGTGACCGAAATATTGCACTATTAGTGTTGCCCCCTCCCTTATTACTCTGTTAGGCCTAGGCCTAGTCTGCAAACTATATCCCTAGCAGTGGCCAACCGTCGTCTGGTTACGGTATGACGTTGATGCTTAGAATGGCCAAAGTCGTCTGGTTACGGTATGGGCCGAAATTTTTTTAACGGTAAAAAAAACACTTACAATCAACTCAGATTAGAATAATATATATACCATTCGAAAGATCACATTCTGAACTTTCATTTCATTACATAAACAAACCCTGTAGCAGGTAAATAACAATGTCACGACGATTAGAAATCAAATGAAATTTTGGCGCGGTACGACTTTTGCAGCCGACACTTGGGAACTGGCAAAACACGTCTTGTTTGGCATTACCCTGCTCGGGTAATTTTCGTCTTGGGATGTTGCGGGTGATACCACTGGATAGCCATTGATTTTATCTTCATTGTGGTAGTGATATTTATAACTAAATATTGATTGCACAATCGGTACGATTTTATGAAAACAGCTGTTTTCGAAATTTCTAACAAATGGCCAACAGTCGTCTGGTGACAGTATGGAAAATACGAATTATATACAGTGAAAGTTATTATTACTAGTCATATAGTATATCATTTTGAAGAGGAAGAAATTTAGATTCAGAGAGTGGCAGCCATGCACTCAGGGTTATTTCTGTATGCTCGCATGTAGACAGTGATGTAGACGACGGAAGTGAGTCATTACTGCCACAGTCTGTCAGCTGTCTTGTATTGCCATTGTTTGTTTGTGTTGTTGCCGTAATAGTTTTATCCGCGATTTATTACTAAATATGTTATTAGTTCGTAGTGTTAGTGTAAGTGAAGTGTTGTGTGTGTGTATAACAGTTATCTTCATGCATAAATATTACTGAATTGTGTGGAATAGTGTTCATAAAAGGTTGTATTTTGTTAGCATCATGTCCTAAAATGACGATTCTGACATTCAGAGATTGTTGTACCTATATAATGATATACCCAAGGTGTTATACATTTTTATAAAGGTAAATGAATACACTACAACATGTTTATAATGGTTCGGGGGTAAACAATTTTGTAAAAAAGTTATAGCCTATACTAAATAGGCCTACTACTGTAGGCTATTTTGTTAGCATCATGTCCAAAAATGACGATTCTGACATTCAGAGGGGTTATAATGATTTACCCAAGGTGTTATACATTTTTATAAAGGTAAATGAATACACTACAACATGTTTATATTGGTTTGGGTGTAAAAATTTGGTAAAAAATTATATAGGCTACTAAATACTGTACACTCCATTTTCTCGAAATGCGCAAAAAATTCAAAACGTTCTCAAATTGATAGGCCTACATAATCATAGGTGAAAATAACTTTTTACCATCATACTTATGACTTTTTTGGATTCCTTACTTCATTGGCTTTACAAATATGTAGGCTACATATCATCAGCCTACATAATGTTTCACAACACAAGCAAACACTGTAGGCTATAGTTTACACTTATTTGCGGTTTTGCGGTTATTGTATTATTATGTCCCTATTACGTACCTACAAAAAAAATATTTCTAACATGTTATACATTTTTATGTTGGTAATTGAATACACTACAAGATTATTATGTTGGTTTGAAGTAAAAAAATTTGGTACAAAAGTTGTATACTAAGTACTGTGAATTTTGTTTTTTGAGAAATCGCTAAAATATATAAACATTATTTTATATACGTATGTTTATAGGTAAAAAATTATTTTTACCATAAACTTTATGACTTTTTTTGATTCCTTACTTCATTAGCTTTACAAACATGTATATATCATTATTAGTATACACATGTATTATAGAACTTTTTACAACATAAACTAACACTGTACGGTTCTCAATTTTTTCGGTTCTCCGTTTGTCATTATATTTCGCCCCAAAAACTTATAAAAAAAAAATATTTTCCTAACATGTTATATATTTCTATGTAGGGAATTAGATTTTCTACAAAATGTATATAATGAATTTCCCATAAAGAAATCCGTAGAAAAAAAATACCAAGGCCGCTTTTGAAATTTCAAAAAAAAAAATTCTAATTTTTTTATTTTTTTCACTTTATCGATAAAATACACTGTCTAAATCATTATGATATTACTATTTCTAGATTCTCCTGTTCTTTCCGAACAAAATGAATATGAGGTTGGCTAGGTTTACTTGTACGGTTGAATTTTTACGAATTTTCAAAAAAAGGTCTGCAAAATCGCCAAAATGGGTTGGCCATTCCCCACTTCTAACATTGGCCACTGCTAGGGATATTTATTTTATTTTATTTTATTTTATTTCCAACGGCAGCAGCCAATTTACAAAGATAAACATGATGGTTGAATACAACAAAATAGGTAAGCAAAATTTGATGATATATTTAAGTTCAACTTGTTCGTTATCACAGAAAACATAAGTTACTACTAAAAACACTACTGAACATTGTAATAGTAGTATGTTTTCTGTGTCCTTATGTACAAAACAAGCAAAAGGGCCCACAATGTGTTACTTACGTAAGTTAAATAAGTTAGGCCTAGGTCCACTGGTTACATGGCTCCACATTCCATACTGTAGGTCTAGTAGGATAGCTTCCCAAGTTACATCTTCGATACTGCTAGTTAGGCATTAACAAATTTGTATCAAAGGAAAAGATACTTATTGACGCAGAGAAACTGTGATTGGACACGTAGGTTAGTGTAGTACCCCAATTCTAATGTAATTTGATTATACATACAAATTACAAACGGAAACGAGTCGACATCACACCAAAAATTGATGTCACACTCACACCTCACCACCACAGCCAACAGGACACAGGACAGCCTGACGACAGGACAGGACGACAGGAAGGAAGGACACAGGTTGTTTTGTTTTGTCTTTTCTTTTTCTCTTTGTCTGTTCATTACATAGAGGATAGAGATGCTCTTCTTCTTCTGTGGTTCGTTACGTCTCTAGCTGACGTACATTGGCTATTCGATTTTCGATTTTATTCCAGCCAGCGAGCCAGCCCATAAGGACTAGATGACTAGATGGGGGAGGGACTAGGGACTAAGGGAGGGACAGTCGAACAGGAAATTGGAAGAAAGATTAGAATATCTCACTCTCGCTCAATTCCTATACACTTCCCTGCATAGCCTCCTCTAATACAAGGCCGCGGCGAGACAACAGTGACAATACCGCTGCCCCGGCAAACCGAAAACGCTTGTTTACACCTTGTCATTTCTGTTATTACATGCCGTTACGACAATGCCACACACCAATGCCGCGGCCTTGTATTCGAGGAGGATATGCTTGCATTCATTCTTCTTCAGCCTCCTAAGTGTGCACCACTGTCTACTGTCTGTCTCACAGAATTGGTAACTCATCACCATTGGTTTTAACTAGAGGTGGCTGTGTTTTAACTCACCACCACCACCTCAAACATTTTAGTGACAGTTTGACAGGATGGAATTGGTCTTTACCGTGTGTTGTGGTGAGTTATCATGGAAGCACACTGTCGGGTTGGCACCTTGTCACCTGTGTGTGTGTGTGTGTGATGTGATAGCAGGTTGATGGGGACAAACACGACAACTCTCCACTCGAAAATGTCGTAATGGCAGATTGTCGGGAAGGCGCCTCGTCTTGTCGCAAGCGTGCGTGGGTGTGGGTTGTCGTCCTGTCTGCTTGTCGGGGCTGTCACCCTACGCTGACAGGGTGGCACATTGACATGGTATGTACATTATTTACATTATGATCAGCTGGATAACTTAATGGCTGTTAATATTTTAGTTGCAATTAAGGGAAACGTGTGCTACAAACATTTACTGACTTGGTTAAATGAAATATTTACTATTTGAATTTGGGTTCGCGTAAATATTACAATGGAAACAACCGAGAAAGCTTGGACATAGGTGGCTTTGATATAGGTACTAAAAAGAAAGCTGAATTAAAACTGTGCTGCATTTCTTGAACAATCATTGAAAGAGCCGATTTGCAAACAAAGGAAAACATAGGAAAGTCATATAACACCACTAAGTAGAAGAAAAAAGAAATATTTTTTATAATTTATAATCGTTAATAAGGACAACCTATTGCGGCTATGAGTGGGAAATATTTTGTAGAAAACACTAAAAAACAAGGTCAGCTTTTGAAAAATGATTAGATATTTGCAAGAAATTTTGATTATATCGAACTGTTTATGTAGGCTACATCGTGAGTATTTCCATAATCTTAAAGTCGATCTTAAAGTCATCGGAAATTATTACTGTTATTAGTTAAAAAAAAAAAAAAACGCCTGTAATACTTCGCAATTGCTCGAATTCGAGCAACAGGTGATATTTAAATGGATTTAGGTGAAAATCCAATCAGACAAATGAAAATCTGTTTTGTTGCGGCAACTGCCACCTGTTTCAGTTAGCTAAATTACTCTTTATGGAGTATATCTAAAATCAACAAATTTAACTTGTGTACTGTAAATCAGTAGTTTTATTCACCTAATAACTATCTCAAACAACCATAATATTTTAAAGATCAAAATGTGTTACATTAGATTCGTTTTGCCTCAAAAACAAGGATTGAACCCTAATAAAAAATGTGAATATAATTTGTCGTTGTCATATATTTTTGAACCCCCTTAATTAACCACATACAAGGCCGTAGCATAGACTAAGCAACACAAAGGGAGTATGATTTATCTATGGCCGTAGCCAGGACAGACTTTCGGGGGGGGGGGGGGGTCAGGTCAGTGGCGGTTCTAGGATCTTGTCACGGGGGGCTCCCGGGTGGCTTGGAACACCCCCAATATAAGAAGGAGGTCTGGCGGTCCTCCCCCGGAAAATATTTTATATTTTAAAGTAGTTAAAGTAACTTTCTAAAGCAATTTTTAACGCCTAAAACTGTCTCCAATCGTAAAAAAACTCCCATTTAACCTGTTTTTTTTATTTCCATAAGCAAGTAGACATTTGCAAATTTAAACTATGACGATTGTATTCATAAATTTGTAACCATACTGTAAGCTACGGCCATATCCTCCTAAAAACCGTATGGTACTTTATTCAGCCCCTGTAGCCCCTCCCCCCCTTGGAACCAACACTGGGTTAGGTCTTGACTGTGGATAACAGATCTAAGCACTTTCATTCAAACACCAATTCCCATGCTTATTTCTAAAATGTTGATATAGTTACATATGCAAAATATTAGGATGATAAATCTGTTTTGTTTGAGTAAAGTATTTTTGTTGAACCTTATTTGCAAACTTTCCAACTAATGTGTAGTTTACAAAGTTTTACTCGACAAATTACTTGTTTCTGGGATTGCGTTTGTGGCATTAATGTGATATTTTGTAAACTATAAATTTGGCATGATAGACAGCATGTCTTGGGCAATCGGGTGAGCCTATTGGCATTACACAATCTGATTAGGCACACACTTTATCTGCATTATCAGTCACGGACAATAGAACACCAATAGTCTATTCTCTATTATATAGACCACATGTGTAACTCACTGACTCACTCGTCAGGTATACCTCAGAGTAATAAAACATTAAATTATAAAATACATAAAAAAGTACAAAATACAGTATAATACAAAATTATGTATTATTACTCTGAGGGTATACAAATGTTTACCCACTTCTAGAATAATAGCATTGTAATAATCTCCTACATAGGCTACATGTTTATACATACGAATTTGATGGCGTGTTTGGTCTGTAAAAAGAAAAAGCAAATCAGTCCTGGGCTTAGGTTTTACCATGAGACCTACAAAAGCTTATTATATGGAATATTCTCTAATTGAACATGTTCGATGGCGACAATTGGCGGCATGCAATGGGCGAAGGTATGTATGAGTCATCCTATACCTGGCCCCCCACCCCACACAGTCGTCGGTCATGGCCATAGGTCATCAGACCTCAGACCGGTCCTGCAGACACCAGCAGATGGTGAAATCTATGGAAATAGGCGCGGCTCCGTAACAGAGACTTTCGATCGGAGGAATTCCTTGTAGAATCTGGCGTGACTCATATATATATTTGTTAGCTTTCAATTTCGTCAATCCGACCAGATTGCAAATGGATCAGATGATACTACATCTCCCACATCAATTCGCAATTTAAGGTGAAGTGTGTCGATGTGTGTAATGTGTGATATGACAGCTTTGTTACTGACTGGAACAAACTTGGTCCTCAGTACCATTCGGCAAAGACAGCTGGATCCAGTGTTGAACTATGGAAAAGCTTATGACTTTAGTGGGATCGAACCGGCAACCTTCTGATGTATGACCAGGTTTTCACCAGTGTGGCTTGCTTAACTATGTGAATGTCTTTTTGGTTTATGAACTAATGCTTTTGCCAAACCCACGAGGTAATGGTACGTACTAGAGCAAGGAAGTAAAGGGCATAATATTCACCATACTTGTGTGCACGAACATAGAACTGTGTGGTGCATAGTTGTATGTTGCACTTGCACAGAAGTCTATTGCACAGCAGTGTGGTGCACAGTGGCACACACAGTAGTATAGTGCGTATTGCATGACAACACTTACTCTAGATTAAACGCAGTCCCACCAAACCTAACTTGATGTCGATCACTCTCGTTCTGATTGACCTTTCTCCCAGTCGTGATCAGCGAGTTGCCACCGGTCGTGACGTCATCATAATTGAATCGTGCTCGGATCGCGTGATACGACCAATAGAAGCAGCAAATGGAGTGATAGGTATTGTGGTCGAGGTGACACCCAGCCAGGTTATTTTGGATTCGTGAAGACTCTTCTAGATACCAACATTGTTTCGAAAGGAGAATTTATAATGATTTACCCAAAAGTATTTAGAATGCCAATGAAGCATTTGGAACATTCACACATTTGTTTGTAAACACACTATAAAGAACGTTCGTTTTCCACCGGTAGACATTGCCACTCCGCCAGCCGCATTCCATTAAGTAATGTGGAACAGTTCCAAAAAGGAAAGTTGAAGTTGACGCTACGTCATCTCTGTAGGCTGCAGAGTTTGAGCGTTTTGAACTTGACGAATGAGAAGTTGGGAACATAGGCATATACCATGACAAAAATACAATATTTAAACTAAAAACAACCAAACTAGATTAGCCATTAGTCATAATTAATTTATTATCCGTTGAAAGCAGATTACTTTCTTACTTCAATTACTTATTTCACTAACATTCAGGGTTTCCATTATACGAGGTAGTTTAATCTATGATTTTATTTTAATAATCAATGATGCGTGTGTAAGGTTTAAAAACATTCTCTTTCGAGTCTTCAACCTGTTTTGAAGCAGAATTAGGCAAATAGTTTTCTATTAGAGCAGCTAAAACGCTAACGTAACGTGCATCAATTTCACATTTTTCAGTATTATTCTCCCAGCTAATTATGTCGTTTGTCTGTAACTCCTCCAAGTGAGCCTAAGATCTGGGTCAAGATACAATTCATCTGTAATTCTCTATGTCATGTGATAAGTATAAGTGTTGTAATTATATATGTACCGATGCGACCTCCCCATTGCGATTTTTCGTCCTTGCTGCCTGAAGATGGTTTCAGTCGCCACCGCATCCGTAAACTCCGTTCTGGGAGTGCTCTTTGCACTCGTATACTTCTGTAACTACTCGTGTATTCGTTTGTAATATTTTCTGGAAATCTTGAATCTTCCAAGTCCAAAGTCCCACAACCTATGACGTCATAACCAGTCGTCCACGCTTGTTACATTTTCGCCCACAATGACTTTTCCTTTTTCGCCCTGGTTGCCCAACTCGTGGGCAGACAATGGCCACAGCGACACTCAGACCCTGACCCCACGTGACTTTCATTCTACTCCCCCGCCTTCATATCACATAAGTCACGTGACATTGGTCAAGGT